TTTCCTGAATTATTGGTGACTCCATGTCTCTGGGTAACTCTACAATAGCCTCGGCTTCGGGTTCAGCATCTGCTACTGCAAAAACAAAATAATTAATAAATGCAGAAATGATGGTATATGCAGCAAAAATTTTTTGAAAGTTTATTACAAAGCAATTCCAGAATGGTTTTATTAAAAAAAGAATAAAAATGAACAATACTATATGTTGCAGAAATGCATTAGGGATGTTTTGGGGTTGATATTTGCAATTGTAGATAGGTCAAGTAAAAGTTTAGATTTTATAAAAAAAATATTTATTCAATAATGTGATGGCCTTACTATTACCAAGAAGAGTTTAAAGGTAAAATAATTTTGTATTAAAAAGATGTTTATCATCATTTTGTTGATTTATTTTTAACTTTTTTTTGCAGCTTTTTGCTGACTTTTATTCTTCCGATATTATAATTGCGTCACCGTTGGGTTTACGAACAATCATTGGCGCTCAGGGTGAACCTGACAGGGACTATGACTTCCTAGCCTCTGTAGAAATGTTAATTTTAGATCAAACCGAAATATTTTTAATGCAAAATTGGGACCACGTTTTGCATATTTTCAATCACATTCATCTTCAACCTAAAGATTCACATGGGACAGACTTTTCTAGAGTTAGAACATGGGCATTAAATGGTTGGTCCAAGTACTACAGGCAAACGTTAATTTTTTCGTCGGTAGTCTTGCCAGAAATAAATGCAATTTTTAATAATAAATGCTTCAATTATGCAGGTAAAGTAAGGGCAATTAATCTCACAAAATTCGGCACAATTTGCCAAGTTTATGTGCAGTTACCTCATGTCTTTCAAAAATTTTATACTGAAAATATCATAGATACGGTTGAGGAAAGGTTTAAATTTTTTATTAACAAAATTGTGCCCCAACATATGGACACACTAATGCGACAGACGTTAATTTATGTGACTAATTATTTTGATTTTGTACGATTAAGAAATCATTTCAAGCGAGAAGACATTGGATTTGTACAAATTTGTGAATATAGCAAAGTAAGTATTTTACAATTGGTATGCAATTTATTTCACAATATTCAGATAAAATGTAAATTAAATTCTCTTTTAATTGAATTGCACCTCAGTTCAGTTAAATTGTTTAGATTTTTATATAGATAGAGTAATATGTTATTTTAATACTAAATATTTTGTAGTTTGTATTCCTATTTTACGTCGACGTAAGATAGCATTTGCTCTCTCAGTCAGGATTCATTTTAAATCTACTTTGTACCTAGTTTGATTAAATTAAATTAAAATTAAAAAAAAATCGGTTTTATCTTTATTGCTGTAATTATTATAATAAATTTTTAATTATTCTTTTATCATTTTAAAACATTTTAGTGACATTAATTAATTTTTTTCTTGCAGGAAGGGAAGGTTGCTAGGGCTCGGGATATGTTTTTTCATGGAGATGCGCATTTTCTTTTATATACTGAAAGGTTCCACTTTTTCAACCGAATTAGGGTAAAGGGAATAAGGCATTTGATTTTTTATTCTCCACCAAATGTTCCACATTTTTATTATGAGATGTGTAACCTTATGCAGGTATCTATATTTGGTAACTTAATACATATTATTATTATAATATTTTAATTTGCATGTAACCTTTTCTTAAAAGCTTAACATTTAAAGGTACAAACTGTACAAATCTAAGTTCATCTTTAATTGTAATTTTCATCTTAATGTCAGACAAAAAGTTATCAGTATTGTGGTACCTTTCTGTTACCAATTAACATTTCACTTATTTTACCACAGTTTAATCGTGTCTACAATTCGTTAGTGTTTTATTATTTATTTTATTAGTGGTTATATGGTTCATTACTTTTTTTATTCTAAACTTTGTAACTTCCTAAATCCACAATTAGAATAAATAAAAAGTAGATAGCTTGTTTTGTGATAATTGTTTTATTTTAGGAGTCGAATATGAACAAAAAAATAGGCAGTATGTCTAACATGACTGTTACTGTATTATATTCGAAGTATGACATCAATCAGTTATCAGCAATCGTAGGAACGGACAGGGCTGTGAGAATGATCGAGTCCGAACGAAATGTTCATATGCTGGTAACCGATGCTAAAAATACCGATACTATATAATATTATTGTAAAATAAATTATTTTTGTAATTTATGAACGTTATAAATATTACAACTGTCTTTTTTTGTCCGTTTTTTATTTTTTGACAAGGTCAGAGTTTATTTATTGTAAACGAATCAACAATCAAGTTGCCAGTCGGAAGACTGATTGNTTTTTATATTTTTAAAATGTACTGAAAACGAATTCATGTACTTATGCAATTGAGTGTTTTCAAATCGCATATATGCCTGTCCTTTTTTTATTCATATACAATTTACCATACTGGTTGATCTCCAATGCTCAAGTAATTTAATAAGGTTTATGATTTTTGATTGTTCATCGACATTGTACTTGTCCTTTATGTGGACCTTCCTCTCATAGGTTTTTGTATAATTGTACATAGTGTATATAAGAGTTTCTAATTAGCTCATAGTTATTATTTGTGTACATTTCACATACGTTATATATTTTAATGAGGTCTAAATTTATAAAGTTGGCAATATGTTTTACTTACGATTAGTAAATTAATGGCAAATCTCCCTTTGAAAAGTAATCGACGGCCCAATATTTATATGTATGTACACCCGGTTTAACGTGGTAAAGTTGCAAACCGTTTGTTCGTTAAATGAAAATTATCCGAATGATGTAAATAACGTCTGTTACCCGTATATCCTAAACAAGAAATTTACACAAAGAAATAAATATGTATTAAAACAGGGAGATGAAATCTAGTCTGTCATTGGCAGTTATTGAAGAAGTAAACGAGCCAGTATTATTCGCGATGTTTTTCTTGAAACGAATACTCGTTCAAACCGTCCTAACTTCTAAATGGCTGCAATGATAATTTTCTAAATAGTTACATGATATATTATATAAATATATATTAGGCTTATTAATTAAAATTTTTTTGTTCTCTTGCCATGACACTTAAAAAGGAAATTGTTCTTGTTACTTAAAATAGGGAATGTTTATTTGCGGTTTTGACATCAAATCAATTTTCATTAAGCTGATTTATTAAAGGCTGATAATTAAATTTAGAAATTCTTTTATTTTCAATCGCAATCGAATTTTCATTTAAAAAAAATGTTGGAAAATTTAAATTAATATTATTTGGAGAAAATAGGTAAATAAAAATTGAGTTACGTAAGTCGATTAATAATAAAGGAATTGATCAGACTTGTTAAAAAAAGTGGTGCTTCACAAAACCTTCATCTAAATGTTCTCTATAATTTCACATACTATTTTCAACATGAATTTCTACTTTCCTAATTAATAATAAAAAGAACAAAGAAAAGGGCACAATTAATTAATAACATTAATAAATTGTTAAGGTGCAAAGATACAAATACATAGCTCGTTGGAATTGTATTTTTAACTCTCGCAAGAAAATTAATTCAATTTAAATGAATAGGCAATCATCGATAATCCAGACTAAAGCAAATAGAAGTTTATTCTAAATGATAGACAAAAAATATTATATAAATATTTTGGTATCTGCAATAAATTTTGGGGAACAGTTTTGTTTAAAAAAATCTGATGATTACCAAAATGTATATTAAAAAATAAATAGTAAATATACCACAGTTATTATATTTTGTCCCACACTGACGCGATGTCAATAATAATTACGTACAACACTGATCGTGTGCAAGTAACATGTGATATCATGTAAAATGTTAGCGTTAAGAAATAAATTGGTATCTATGAACGACTTGTTTTATTTTTTGCGATTATTATTAAATACTCCTGAATTTAATTGGTTATTAAAACATGACATACAATGCAGGTATGCATTTTGGAAAGTATTTAACTATTGTTAAATGGCGAAAAATGGATTTTACAAAAAAAATAGTTTTATGTAGGATTTGTTAAACTGAAAATGAAGTATTTTGTAAACACGATTTATTTTCTTGTACTTTAAATAGTACAACTCATTTAAAGAACATTAATATCTAAATGTTTTTTCTTCCTCCTCTTCTTCCTCGATGTATTCTGTATTAAATTCGGGTAACTTTAGAAGAAGTTCTTCTTCGTAGGTGTTCTCTTTTATATTTTCACTATCTTCTAATATTAATTGGCTACGATCCTTTTGCTTTGAAGCTTTAGCTTTCATAATCTAAATTAAAAATTATGATGGAGTAAGTAGTGTAACATTTTGATTTCCATGTATTATCTCCATACCTGTCGTCTTTGGAGGTACTGTTTAAACATTTCTTTTTGTTCCTTTTGGTCCACAAATTCAATTTCCTGACCTTTAATAAAGATCTTCGGTATTTCCACGTCAACAACTTTTTGACGTTCAGTTTTGGATTTGCTCATATCTCTTACAATCTTAAAATTTTCGATTTTTGTTACCGTTCTAGTTTAAAATAGTTCTTTTTTTATAAAGAAACTAATTTACCTTTTTCATTATAATATCGTGATCTAACCCGAGCGAATTATTTGGCATAGGAGGTAACACATCCACATCGGTTTCACCTTCACTTTCATGTAATTCTTCACACTCATCTTCTAAATTTTTTATTTTGCGCTAAAGTTTTGCAGAAAGAAGTCCCTAATATTAATTGCTATTGCAAAATTTAATCGTAAAATCTAGCAGGAGAATGTAGAAAAAGGAGAAGTGATTAATAAAATGACATATTCTCATAATACCTTTGTTTCAGAATCCAATTTGTAATTTATTTGCAATTCTGATTTTAATTGTGATGAATAATCTGTGGGTGTGTAATCATCCCCAAAATCTGCCTTTTTTAATGTACTGTCTAATTCTGCTAATTTTGCATATAACTTGTCTACAAAAGTAACACCAGTGTAAAATGATAAGTATTTTTAATTAATTATTTGATGGTTTATTGGCATTAAGACTTGCCCTTAACAAAAGTAATTTTAGGAACAATTCCTATTACTTGAAGCTGTGTAAGTTCATGCCTAAGAGCTCTGGCATTAACTTTTAATAATTCCTCAATATTATCATCCTCTTTAGTTCCTTTTGCTACCCAATACACATTTAAACCTTTAAAATCAGGCCACACTTGAACCTATAAAACTTTCCTTGCAATTTTGTACAAGATGAAAAAATAATTCTCGTTTATAATTAGATTTCAAATTATGTAATGTACTTTAATATATGTTTACTAACTTGACTTATTTCTATTCCATATCCCACAAAACTAGATGAGTTTTCACCAGTTGCCATTAGATCAGTAATGTAACTCATGAATAATTTATTTAATATTTGTGCTCGTTTAGAATTTGGAGATTGTTTACCTTCTAAAGAACCAGAACTAAATACAGAAGGGCTTACAACACATGCATCCTCAATATATTTATATTTTCTAAAATATCGGCATGTTTTTAGATAACTTACGTAAAGCATATAAATGGAAATATCTTACTTTTTGCCTTGTGATTTCTTCATAATTTTAGCCATGGCTTTATATACGGTTTGTTGCATTTCAGTTTGATGAAAATAACGAACACAGCATAGTCTAATATTAGCATTTTTAAGTAGGCTTATCATTTTAATTTCAATTTAACAGCAATTAATGGAAGTATCTAACACCACACATTCAGCCTGCTGATTTTTGGCTATCTTACAATTACTTAGAAAAAATTTCTTAATTTACTATAAATGAAGATACATCTTGCCAATTTTGACGTTTAAAATTTGAGGTTAAATACATACATAGAATACATACATGTAATCATAGATAGCATGTAATCAAAGATGTAAAAAGTTGTAATGCGAAAATAAAAAGGTTGCGATCGATTACATTGATCTACTTCTGATCTAATTTTGTAAACGATTGTTTAAAATTTGTTATGTACGCTATTTTTGCAGAGGTTTCATTACGGCTACAGCAAAAAAGCAGATTCATTTTTAAATAGAAATACCTACTCATTTGATTAAATTAATGTAATGTTGAATGTTGTACATTTTTGATTTAAAATATTGTTTTATTATCCCATTACTTTTTATCATTAAAATATCGTGTTTTAATCATAATAACGCCTTATATTGTGTTTTACGTATATGTACGGTACATAAGTGGCACATTTCAGTAATCCAACCACAAGAACAATTAATATTTGTATTGTAATTATTCCCAGTGCTTTAGAAAAATTTTCGGAGAACCTTTTCATATGTATGAATGTACTGGTCCTGAAAGAAATATAAAAAAGGAAAATTCACTTACCCTCTCGAAGGCTCTCTATTTCTGAAACAATTAAAAGAAGAGTAAATATTTATTAAAAGATTCATCATAAGGAAAGTATCTCACCTACAAACTTTGTTTGGTGTTGCTTCATTATCCTTCCTACAGGTTCCATCAGTCCTTTACTGATGTCTAATATTATTCATCAAAATCGAACGTTCACTCCCGCACTACCGCACTTAACCGACCGCGAAAAACGCACACTAACTTTTCGCGGAGCGAATTTAAAACTGCACTTATCGATCGATCGATCACAAAAACCTCCCACCTATTAATCATCGATCTGAAATCAAAAGCAAAAAGTTTTAAGACTCGCGTCTATTAATTTAGAAATTCGAAAAAGATTGTTAAATAAAGGTGCATATTTGAAGCGTGGTTCTGTATGGATGCGAAATGTGGACGTCTCGGTGGGCGCACGGAAATGAAAAAATTTGAAATGTTTGAGATGTGGAGTTATAGGCGGATGATGGAAATGCCGTGAATAGAAAATATTAGGAAGTAGGAGGTATTAGAAAGAGTAGGAGAAGTGGAAGTCAATAAAGAAATTTAGAATAAGAGGGCGCCACCTTTTGAGGCATATTAGAAGCAGGAACAGGAGTAAAAGGGAACAGAGGTCCTATTTATTAATAGATGACTTACGTTTTCTTATCTTTAATTTGTTTTCTGACACCATTGCCGGTTGATGATCTAATCCAGTATAATTGAGATTATTGACTGATGAGAGTGAAGCCTGTTCATCGGACAGTAGAAGAGACCCTCTTCGAATATGAAACTGTATTTTTTCTTTCACTTGAGCTTTTAAACAACTTACGGGCATTTTCTGCAACAAAATACTTCGTAAATACTGAAAACGATTAAGTATTTAACAGTAGGTAGATCAAAATACAACAATAGACAATTACTATAGGTCATTAGAGATTTTCAGGTTACAGGTAGTAACAAATTAATATACAACAACAACATTTAAGTTAAGTTTCACAAATTCCTTATGACACATTTAAATGTGAAAAAATTTAAAACTTACTATTACTTTTTTTGCACATTACCTTTACTTTTAAATTACTAGATTTATTTATTTTATGGATAATTACTGAAATAACTTACTAAGCTTTTTTACAAGATTTTCTGATTTAATTAGTAATAATTTGAAACCCAATTGATTGTTAATTTACTTATAACAAATTGTATTAGCAGAGCAAACACATCTTGGAATAATTTTACAGGTTTTATTGAAACTTTTTCATATCAAAAGATACAAAGTTGTACACCCTGATATACCCAAGAAGTTTGAACAAAGTCTATGATATTATTATTCCTAAAGTGTTTTTGTATTCCCAATACAATTTGTCATAAAATAAAGAATGCTTCTCAGTGAAAATGCACCCCCAACTGCTTTAATAACAATGTACACATACGTAGACATAATAATATGTTTTCTAAAAAGTATACTTTTCAGTTTTCAATTAAAATTATTAAACATATACCATGCATCTAACATGTTCTAAACATTGGAAAAAGTTAAACTTGTTGACTAACGGTAAGTATAACAAGTACTACATTACAATTTATATATATATATATATCATTTTCTGTTTTATTTCACTGTTCCATTTAAGCAAAAAATTAAATACCAGTAATTTAATTTATGTCTGTCTACAAAAGGGCAAATATCCCAGACAATGAGAAGAGGCATTATTGAAACATTTCGTTTTAAGACAACTAATTAACAATAAGAAACTTACTTATTTAATTTTAGTGAAAATTGGTAGTTTTCATAATGAAGTAAATTTTGGTTACCGACAGTCATTTTTTTTAATACTTGACTAGCATGGCGTAGTTTACGTAGATGATTATTCGCAGACAAAAACGG